CTCGGCCATTCTCGCCGCTTCACGCCTACCTCGCGCCTGCAGCAGTGACGGTCTCCGGTTCCCTGCCGCTATCCGGCGATATAAAAGAGCAAATTTCAGAGCAAATTTTCGCCGTTGTTTCAAATGCCGCACCGTTACTGTCGCTCATGCAGGGCCCCCCTGCACGCCGCTGACGGTCACGGCGAGTGTGTTTCATGCTTGGGCGCCGCCTACGCTGAAGCAGCACTCATTGAGACTGAATGTCCTCATTGCGAGGATATGAGTCTCGCCTCTCTGCGCTCGCGGAAAGCTTTCTTTCCAGGAGCCTGTGAGGAAAAAGCACGTGCTATGTAGCTGCACGACTCAGTCGTCGTTTCAGTCGAAGTAACCTGAGGATCCTATGGCGATGTGCCGCTTATATAGCCAGATGACCCCGCCCATTCTGGCGGGGGAATGTCCTCATTGCGAGGATATGAGTCTCGCCTCTCTGCGCTCATGGAAAGCTTTCTTTTCAGAGAGAGCGACTCCGCCCCTCGCACCCTCCCGCTTTCTTCCTCCCAGGAGCCTGTGAGGAAAAAGCAGCGGGACAAAGATACTTGGCGCTCGGTGACGAGTGAGCCCATGCCGGCTGAGCCCCCGCGTGCCTCACTCTCTCCGCTCAGAGAGGTTTCTCCAGTCCACTTCTCCCTCCCAGACCAGCGTCCCTCTGCGGCTGCGAGCGATCTGGTCTCATTTGGAGGAAGCGACGTGCTATGTAGCTGCACGACTCAGTCGTCGTTTCAGTCGAAGTAACCTGAGGATCCTATGGCGATGTGCCGCTTATATAGCCAGATGACCCCGCCCATTCTGGCGGGCTTTGGCAGGCTTTACCGCCATAGCCTCGTGCAGCTCCGCTGCCGAACCATTGGTTCGTTTTTTATTCACTGCACGAACCAATGGCCGTGCAGTTACACTGCGTTATTGAAAGGCTTCAGTCATCAGAGAAAAAGGAGTTTTCCCCCAAAGTGTCTTAAACAGATGCAGTACTCGTTCCATATCTCAGGGAACCGAGGTTACGTTAGTAACTGAGTACGTTTTCTCTTGTTTTTGTCTCTTGTTGCTTCCTTGGCAATGTCTGCATTATAGATGAACAGATTTGTGAGAGATTCTCTTTTGAGAAGGCAGCTACAACTTTGTTGTTGTAGATAAACTATAGTGACTCTGAGATCACAAGAAAACACATTTTGTTATATTTAGAACTTGAGAAGACAAGAAAGATAAATGAATGCATGGCCTGTTCTAAAGTATAATGCAATAACATCATAGACTTTGTAAGTGTGTACAAGTTAATTGTTTTATGTTCAAACTTCTGTTCAAAAGTTTGGGATCAGTAAGATTATTTTTAAAGAAATTAATAGTTTTTGTCAGCAATGAAGCATTAAACTGATCCAAAGTAACTTTAAAGATATTTATAATGCAAAGATTTCTATTTTAAAATAACTGTTCTTTTGAACTTTCTATTCAAAGAATTCTGAAAAAGAAAATGAATCACAATCTCCAAAAATTCTGAAGGATCATGTGACAATGAAAACTGCAGTAATGGCATCTGAAAATTCAGCTTTGCCACCACAAGAATAAATTACATTTTAAATACATAAAAACATAGTTTATGCGTATTGTATATATGTATATAGTTTATATGATATTTTACAACTTTACTATTTTTACTGTGTTTTTGACTAAATAAATGCAGCCTTGGTGTGCATAAAGAGACTTCTTTCAAAAGCATTTCAAAATCTAACCAAAGCCAAATTTTTGAATGATAGTGTACATGTGCAAATGTTGTATCAATATCAAATATAAATGGAAATTTAACTGTACATGAATTTAAAATTTTAAAATGTAAAATTTGTTGTCTTGGCAAAGATGCTCATTTCAACACAACTAAAACATAAAATGAGCAGTAAGGAAATCAGAAAAAGATCAACAGTTTATATGAATATAAATGTGCAATAAATATGCATGCAAAATACATAATTAGAACTCCTTCAAAACAACATCAAGCTTTTTATATTCTCCCAATAAAAACAGCTCAGTTCAGAAGGAGATCTCAAGGGAGGCTGTTGCTTTTTTTGTGGATATCAGGCTATAAAGCCTATTTTTACTTATATAATCAATCCATCATGCCAAAAAAGCAGTGGGCAAAGGCAGGAAAAGATAATGTGAGAGGGGTGTTTTAACACACCATCCAGTTTCCACCTTCTACTGTCAATGGAACCCCAAACAACTGAAAAGAGTGACATATGGGACATATCTCCACGAGTGTTATCGCTGTTGCAAGGGTGTGTGTGCCCTGATATACTGCAGGTTTTGCTCTCTCATCACCTGAGCCAGTGCATTGTGATTGGCCGAACACTGCAAGCACGCGTCGGAAATGTAACG